AATGTTGTACTTCAGTTGAATACATTTTGTAGCAGTGCGTCACGTCGGAATATTGTCTAAAATAAAATATTCAATCCCAGCCAAATCTAGGTCAAAGGGTCAGATTGCGTGCATATAATTATTGATAGTTAAAACAAAAAGTATTTGAATTTTTGATGGTTGTTCAACATCTATGCACAGTTACTAAACTAGTAACCGTGATCTATAAAAACCAGAAAATTGTTAGTAGTCCGAATTTTTGCACAGTCGAAAATAAAACAGAAATTGACCGGTCAAAAGCGGAAGCGGTCAAGAGGTTTGGGGGAAATGAGTACAGTACTTCTTTGTTTGATGAAGCAATGCTGATGCCACGTTGTTGCCATAATGAGGCCACAATGAAGCGAAGCGACAATCGCCTAACTTTTTAATGTCGCGACATTGAAGCGATGCTGAAGCCATAACAATGCCATAATGATGCGATGCTGAAGCGAAGGTGAAGCTGAAGTGAAGCCAAAGCTTCCGCGAGAACTGTACTGTATATGATATGTAGGTACTTAGGATGAACCTTTATTAAATTTGTGACGATATCATTAATACTATATTTTTAACTCCCTTGAGCTTTATTTTTACTTTTCTTTACAGTAAATTCATGAGAACTGAATGCTTGAATTCGCGGTATTCGTTTGACACTTCTCTACCAATCTCCAGACTTGTTGCATCAGTTGGAAACAGTATCCTTTGACGATATTCCCATGATGCACTCTGTTCGCTGATCAATCATCTCTTGCTGTTTTTAATAGTGTAATTGGATGACCATTTTGTTGTTTGAGGATCATGAATAATAGGGTATAGGTGCACATCATATTTTTAAGAAAAGTGGCTGACTGGAGGCCATTTTTGTTTTGTCCATGTTGATTCCTTGCATAAGTACTAAACTCATAAGTAATAATATAAGTTGTGTTAGTTTGTGTCATCAATTGAAGACTATCATTGTGTCATGAAAAGTTTTTCACAGAAAGAAGAGGTCTTTGTATCATAATCATACATCATGGGTTACAGGTGCATGTTATTTTAAAAGACTTTTTCTGTGATGGCTTGCATGATTTCATTCAAACTAAGTACAGTAGAACGTCGATTATCCGGACTGTTAGGGGGACATGCTTTTTGTTCGGTTATGCAAACAGTTCGGATATGCGATCTTGTATGGGCGTGCTCAAATTTACAGGCTCACATACACACAAATTCTAACGCACATGACTGTAATGAAATCAAACAATAGTACATGTAGAGTACGTCATTAAAAACATTTTAATACATTGTAATAAAAATGTTGCATGCTGGAATGTTAAAAAATGTTTCAAAATGTCCGTAAAATGTAGCGATAATAAAGTTCCTTTGCTTCTTTCTTGGGAAAACCAAGTCCCGAACCAAGTGAAGACGGATTTCTCTGAACGATCGTCATAGGCTGTTTTCGTTATCTTTCGTGTCAGTCCTGCACTTGAATCCACTTTACTGAAAAAATCCAGCAGCTTTTGTTTTGCCTTGATATCTGATATCGTCGATTTACCAACACCATACTCAGCAGGATAGATTGCTTGTGGTTTCGCCACGTTCTAGTCGATTTATAATTGACACCTTCGCGTCCAAATCACCAGGGGTAGCCATGCCAACACCAGATACAAGACGCTGATAAAGTAAACAGGTGAAAGGTCGCTTCGTTTTCGCTGTGTATATTTCGGCTCGATGTTACCAGATTGCTCGGGAATTTTCGAATGGTAAACTGCTACAAGATGTCCCGATTTTATTGGATTCAGCAAAGTTTTTAACACCTAGAACGATTGACATAATAAATTGTTGTAAAAATCCAGGTTGGCTACTGTGATCATCGGACGTAAACACTTCAACGCTGTGAACCATCAAACGGCCCGCCGACTGTGGTCATTGGTTGCCGTTGTCTGCTGATAAACCATCAAAGAGGCACACCAAGGGGTTGTTATTGTTTCGTCTCTCTTTTTCACTGCACTATTAAACTGGCGTCGCTTCTGTGGAAAACATCCCAGAAGTTGTTTTCTTTCTTTTTAGCTCCGCTGTTGACTTTGTCGAGCGGAGCTTATCATATGAGTGATTGTCCGTCGTCGTCCGTGTCAATGTTTTACTTTTTCGACTTCTTCTTGAAAACTACAAGCCTGAATGCTTTGATACTTGGTGTATATGTACCTTGGGTAGACCTCTCTCAGATTTGTTCATTCCATGATAATATCTTCAATTCTCTAATTTTGGTGAATATTTTTGTCATTTTTGGTAAAAAGTGATATTTTCGACATCTTGTTGAAAACCGCAAGTCCAATTGCTTGGATATTACATATATAGGTACTACATGTGGATCTCTCTCAGATTTCTTCATTTTGTAATGATATCTTTAATTCTCTAATTTTGGTGAATATTTTTGTCATTTTTGGTAAAAAGTGATATTTTCAACTTCTTGTTGAAAACCGCAAGTTCAATTGCTTTGATATTACATATATAGGTACTACATGTGGACCTCTCTCAGATTTGTTCTTTTTGTAGTGATATCTTTAATTCTCTAATTTTGGTGAATATTTTTGTCATTTTTGGTAAAAAGTGATATTTTCTTGTTAAAAACCACAATCATTTATGGTGAAAAATGATATTTTTGAATTCTTGTTGAAAACAGCAAGTCCCATTGCATTGATACTATGCATATTGTTCATTTTCTAATGATATCTTCTGTTCTTTAATTGCCATGTGCATTGCTAACAGTGGAGCTATCTCAGCCGAGAGGCTGCTTGTTTTATTCCGAAAAGCATGTGACTTCTGATACTGGACATTAAAATTAAAAATCGGAAAAAACATGGGATCGGCTCATGGCCGCGTTTCTTTGACGGCAGTGGAACCCCGTACAATTTTCCCAGGAAACGTATCCGAACTTTACCAGTCAGATCCTTAACTTTACCAAGTTGTAAGTCACCGCGACTTACAACTTGGTAAAGTTAAGGATCTGACTGTAAACAGTGGAGAAGACATTTGATGAAGTTTGTGTTTTTAGGACATTTTTTATTTACAGTGGAACACTGGTGTGGCGTAATAGGCTTGTCTGAATTTAGGAAATTATTGGATACTGTAATTCGTTTCATTGTTTGCGCAGACACTGTAAACAATGAACGTACACGTGAAAGACGTCGGATTACATGTTGATAACAGCTTTATTGAAAGTGTTGCACCAGGAAATCACACAAGACTGTAGTATTTATTGTATTAATCGACGTCCGGATAATCAACGATCTACTGTACGATTTAACATCCTGGATTTTGGGTGCACATTGCATTTTAGTGATTCAGCCAAATACAAATGTATGCTCATATCATCACAGTACATTGCCATCAATGATTGATCACATCCAACACTATTTATTCAAACATTCCCACACTCGTAGAAGTAGAAACAGCTAGTGGCTGTCTTTGGCATTAAGTACAAAACAGGGACTGTGCATTATCAATGCTTGGCTTGCTGGTACAAGGTCATTTTGTTTTAATCAATTGTGTTGTAACTATATGTTAAAACGGGGAAGTCGTCACATGCGCATGCGCCAGATAGCCTTAGCAAGTCATTGTTTACAAACAAGCGTCTACCCATGAGCCTTTGCGCTGTTAGCATGTGTTATCGTCGCTTGGAACTCGATTCCCACACGTGCGCAGGTGATAACCTTCCCTCTTCAATTTGATGTTTATATGTTCAATGATCACATTCAGTTGTTTGATTGGCAGTCATTCTAGAATGTTAAAATTTCATCAAAATCATTTCATAATTCTGAAACTTTATCTTTGTCAATTTTGAATGGATTTCATTATTCTGAAACTTTATCTTTGTCAAGTATGAATGGATTTCATTATTCTGAAACTTTATCTTTGTCAAGTATGAATGGATTTCATTCAAACTTTATACATTTATTGGACATTTTTGAAACCTTGATGCATGTCATGTTTTTTTGAGATCAGATTTAAAATGGCAGAATGACATATAATTTATGATCATGTGGCTAGACAAATTGTGTTAGCTATTATCCTTGACTTTCTTACTAGAATCTCAAATAAATACTCAACGATATGGTAGGAGGCCATTTGGTGTGGGCCTTTTAGTTGCTGGATATGATGTAAGTATGTCAAATAAAATATTGTGTTTTACTGTAAATACAGGAACTGCACATCTAGCAATAAAAAGTAATACTGTAAAATGACTAATTTTCACTGGGTTCCAATTTCGCTGATTTACCATTTCAGGCATATTCAATGGGTTTTAAATTCACGGTTTTATCATTTAGATTATGTGTTCTATGCTAAATTTTACATATTCACTGGGTTTTAATTTTGCGGATTTTCCAGTTGGCAAAATAAGCAAAATTAAAACCCAGCGAATAATTAACCCCTTTACCGGAAAAGCCCAAAGGTCCAACTCTTGTCCCTGGTGTACTAATTTATGAGAACTAAACTATGAGAAATTCACCTCTGTTTTCACAAAAATCAGATTGTCTTTGAAGCTAGGGTGTCCTACAAAAAAAAATAGCAATATGATATTTATTAATCTGTATTCACAATTTTTGGATGACCCAATTTCTACTGCTGCTAGTTCAACAATGGACTACCCACTACTATTAATGAAGGGCCAGCTTTCAAAAAATGTTAAACATGGTAGCAAAGTCAGAGAAGGTTCTAGAAAAGGTGGTGTAGTGTTTTGAATCTTTTATTTGACTGGACCTATCTGATGCCAAGATGCCTTTAGAAGCATTTAGTTTGTAAAATTGTACTTATAGCAATCGGCAGCTGAACCAACCAACCAAGTGACACTCGCCCTTGTATTTTACTATTCAGCATTGTACTGACTATCTTTGTCTCTCACCAGGAAATGGGTCCTCATGTGTATCAAACCTGTCCATCAGCAAATTATTTTGATTGTAAAGCTATGGCAATTGGTTCACGGTCTCAGTCAGCACGGACGTATCTTGAAAGGCATATGGAAGAATTTACAAATAGTAAGTATTCAAAAACACAAAATAGAAAGTCATTGTGCGAGGATTGGTTCAATCATGTAGAAAGTGTTTTTTAACAAATGTAAATCTGGAGGTGATTTGGAAACACAAAAAATGTGTTGTTAACAAAAAACAGATATAACTAGATATAATTAGGACGCAGTCCGAAAACGGGGACTTATGTTTTGCCCTGTGTGCGTCCGCCCGTCCGTGCGTCCGTCATCACCTGTATCTCGAACATGCATGGACCGATTAAGTTCAAACTTCACTCATACATCACACATTATATGGGACATATGCACATGCATTTTTTTCATGATCCGATTAACGATAGCCGAATAGCGGCCATTTTAAGGCCGAAAATGCATCAAAATCGCACATTTTCACCATTCCGGACCCAGATCTCAGTTATGCATGGACGGATTTTGTTCAAATTTGGTACATACATTAAACATAATAGGACGTTGATGCACGTCATTTTTTTTTTTGGGATCGGGTTCGAAATGGCCGACTGGCGGCCATTTTGTTTTAAAGAATTCAGTTCTGGATCCGTATCTGAGACATG